TGCATTGGTCGTTTCTTGTTCAAATGACGATGACTGACTAAATGTTCTGAATTCTACCCCATCCTTCCAAGATAACGTGGCAAACATAAAGCTTACGTCAACTTGGAAATAGTTCACAAGATATTATTTTATCCTTTCTTACATTTTCCTGCATTAAAACAATGAACACACTTCAAAAGTACTTCATTGGCTGTAAAGTGCTTGCTGGATCCTGTGGTCATAAAAAGCAATACATCAAATTGTCTTTCTTTTTGATGTTAAAATGTGGACTTCAACAACATCTTTTGTTACTGGGATAATTTTCTTTGTGCAAGCGTAAATGACAATTTTAGTAATAGAAGTACTATATCTAGCATGCTGATTAAAATAGCAATTAAAATGGTGACAGAATTTGTTGTAGGAAATCTTACATGAAAGGAATTTTGAAGATTCTTAGAAATACACATGGGTTTTGCCAGTGGTGGTGCTGAGGATGAATTTCAGGAGGTTCACTTTAAATCTAATCTTCCATTCTTGCCAACCAAGGAGGTCTGCCCCTCGAGCTCTTACTCCACAATTTCAAGCACAGACACAATTACATTCCAAATACTCCCTGGACCTGAAAGTGCTGAATGTGCCAAAATAAAAAAACCTATATGGCCAGACAGCTAAAACAGGAACTCAGTGGGGCATTAGTTGTATATTGTTTGTGGAAGGAACAAGCTGATGAGCTAAGAATATCAAGTTCTTGTTGATATAAATCCAAACATCAACTTGCAAAACAAAAATGTCTAGAAGATAGTTCAAAAAGTAGAAGTAATATTAAGCTTCATTCTTTGTACCAGATAAGTTATAATTTAACATGTTTATTATGAATATAAATAAATATTTATGCTAAAATTCAAGTTTGCAATATTAGTTTAGAATTTTGAATGGATCTAAATATTCTTAGCTTAGTAAGAGCACATTATATATTATTTTGATTTTGATCTTTTAGTCTCTGTCAACATAAACAGCTACAGTCAATGTGTCTATTTTTATTAACTGCACTGTTTAAGTTATTTTTGAAGAGACCATGTAATGTGCATTCATGCAAATTAGGAAAAACCATTTCAATAAATTGTTGGATATAAATTGGGGAAATATTCAGATGGTACCACTTAGCCATTCATTCCTTGTCTCAAATGTTTATCTTAGCAAGCCTTAACTGTTCATTTTGTGCACTGAAAGATAACAAAAACAATTATGTGAATTGCAACCTCAGTGCCTGGAAACAGCAGCTTCTAGAGTTGACTAGGAAACTAGATGCAATGGACATATGGAACAGAACCAAGCAAGTAACTATAGGAAAACTATTTGGCAGCAATATCATCCGGTTTCAACTAACTGACCAGATATAACAGCAACACGTCAGCACTATACTGTTGGAAGATGCAACTTAAATGGTTATAATTCAGAAACAATCAAATAAGCCACAGATAACTCAATTATTAACATAAATATTGCAAGAATGGTTCCAATAAGGATGCTCGCCAACATCAAAAGCTCCTATTTAGGCATGTGTAACTTCAACAGGAAAAATTGTAGGGGATTTTCTTAAAGAAAATAAAAAAATGTGTAGATACTAACGCTTCTAATATGGATTTGATCTTTGCATGTGAAATAATGTTGTTCAATTTGTATGAGGATTCACAAAGTTAATTGAAGCAAGAATTCCTATTGTGAGTAATGTTTTTAAGCAGTGAGATGAAATAACTTATACTATCCGCACGCATTCCAAATCCAATTAGCATTTGAAGTGTAAACTCTTATATCATCAGCATGTGATTTTACTGTGGGACCTTTAAAAACCATTGTTTTAACCTCCTCTCCTGAATACAGGGAGCTCAAAGTGGAAGTGAAAAAAAGCTCGCAAAAATAAACTGTACAAGAAGTGAATTGCAGCTAACCAAAAAGGGAGCCACCCAGCAGCAAACCTGGGTTGGCAGGTCAATGTTCTAGGCAGCCTCCCTGTATGAGTACCAATGCAGCTACAGCCCACACACAGTTGTGGCAAACAATTGTGTTTTAGATACAAGAGAGATATCTAATGGGGTCTCCCAGGGGTCTGTCCTTGGACCACTGCTTTTCTTGATTATTATCAATGACCTAGGATTTGGTGACATAAAACCTGGAAGTATTGTGAATTGAAAGGAGGATAGTGCCAGACTACTTGAGGATATAGTTGGGCCGATGGAATAGGTAGACATGTGGTATATAGCATTTAATGCAGAGTAGTGCTAAGTAAAATATTTTAATAAGAAGGAAGATGAAAGGCAACACAAAATAAAGAAAATAATTCTCAAGATAGTGTTCCAGTAGAATGAACTAGGCATTTTTGTGCAGAAATCAATGAAGGTAACAGGGCAGTTTAAGAAATTGATTAATAACAAATATGAAATCCTACATTTTTTTTATTTCATTTTTTTTCATTTAGGGATGTGGGATTTGCAGGCTGGGCCAGCATTTATCACCTCTCCCTAGTTCCCCTTCTGAAAGTGATGGTGAGCTGCCTTCTTGAAAGGCTGCAGGCCATTTGGTATTGGGAGACACGCAATTCTGTTAGGTAGGGAATTTCCAGGTTTTGAACCAATGGCAAAGGTGATATATTTCCAAGTCAGAGTGGTGAGGTGCCTTGGAGGGTAACTTACATGTGGTGGTGCTCCCATGTATCTGCTGTCCTTATCCTTCCAGATGGAAGTGATTGTGCATTTGGAAGATGGTGTCTCAGAAGTCTTGGCGAATATCTACAATGCATCTTGTAGCTGGTACACACTGCTGCTACTGAGCATCAGTGACAGAGTGAATGTTTTTGAATCAGCTGGCTGTTTTGACCTGGATGACATTGAGCTTGAGTGTTGCAAGGATATAGGGAGTACAAAAGCAAGGACGTTATTGTGAATATTTATAAATGCAACTGATCAGTTTCAACTGGAGTATTTTTATAATTCTGGGTGCCACTCATTAAGATGGATGAGAAGATATTACAGCAAGAATGCAGAAAAGACTTGAGAATGATTCCAGGAAATGACAAGCTTTAGTAATGAGGATTAATTGATGAAGCTAGGGAGAAGAGTAGGTTTTGCAAGGAGATTTAGCTAAGGAGATGTAATAGTGGCATTCAAAATCATGAGGAGCCTGTACAAAATAGAAAAGAGAAACTTTTCCCATTGGCAAAAGAATTCAGCACTAGAGAGCTGGTTTTTGAATGGCAAAAGAACCAGAGGTGATACGAGAAAAAGACTTTTACACCATAAAAACCAAAAGAACTGTGGATGCTGTAAATCAGGAACAA